GAAAGAGAGGGAGGGACATATTTCTTTAGCAAGGATTTTGTTTTTACGTTATTCCTTTAAACGGTTTATGTTTCAGTGTAATAATAGGTGAGAGCTTCAGGGATGAGTTGCAGTAGTAGCTGTAACAGCAACAACAACTGTACATTTTTCTAACTACAATTTTTTTAATTCATGAAGGCAAAATTCTTCACAATTTGAGGTAAAAACAACTTTTTGCATTCTTGCCAGGGACTTGGAAAGACATTTTAAATCGGAAGTGCTGTAATTTTAGGCAACATCATTAGGGAATTTCTTCCTTTTAAAGGGCCCATGTCCTACATTCTTCTTGTATTCTATTTTCTTCCCTTGAGGACCGATTGGATAACATTATAGGTTATAGACAGACAACATCTGTGTGGCGTTATGTAGCAACAATAATCATAATTCATTTTTAATAGACCATTTTCCAACCTCTCTTCATCCCTTATGCTGCGTTCAATGTTTGTGTTGAAGAAACCGTCATTCCGCTCCTCAAAGTCATGCAGGCATAACGACGCTACAAATTACACTCATAATTTCGGTTTACACATAGAAACAACTGAAACTGTGAGTATAATCTGTAGCGCCCATATGTCCGTGTGGCCATGAAGGGGAGTCAGATTCTGTATCCTTATTCTCATCGAAAATTGCACATATGCAGCTCTCCATAAGGGGGGCTCACAGCGTGATCTGTATTTATGACAGTGGTGTACAAGCGAAATACACTCTGCAACTGCAGGGGGAGCCCAAGAGCAAAAAGTATCAATTCTCGCATAACCCTGCTTTAAAATGTCGAGTCTCATTCTACTGACATTTGAGTTGTTGAAGTAGGTGAAGTGCCATTCTAACTTCATCACTGTTTTCTTTTAAAGCCTTCTGTCTAACAGACGATCTTCACTGATCTGTGTTACTGAGATCAGAGATCTGTGTGAATAAACGGCAATGAAGAAAAGCCTGATGGAACTTTCTAAAAAAGATTTTGAGTGTAAGTATGAATGGTCAGATGATATAAGCAGTTCTCCACCTCCCACCACTTCCACTGCCTTCTCCCCTTCTGCTATGAGGGGCTACTTGTGCTATCCGAGTGGTGAATTATAGTGGACGAGGGCATGTTGAAATGGGGACGGAAGCTGGGTTCTGAAAAGCCAGGCTGTGGTACAGATTAGCTTCATTTTGAGCTTCATCGCTATGTCATCCAAGGCTGTTCCATGCAGAAGGATCCTTTAAATGCGGCTGAGAAATGGGACCTAGATTCTCACAATTTTCAAGGACGCTATTCGAGTGTCCTTCATGGACACCCATAATCACCCATAATCCTTTGCACCCACATCTGAGAAACATTCACCCACATCTTGAAACTACTACACATGGTTAAAAAGGCCAGTAAAATAAACAGTAACATGTACAGCCTGGAAAAGGATGGCATGCCCACTCCAGGTAAGGGGAAGGGACCTGCCCCAGGTGGAAGATTTAAAGTATCTCGGGGTCTTGTTCACGAGTGATGGGAAGAGGGATCGTGAGATCAGCCGCAGGCTGGGACAGGCGGCAGCAGTAATGCGATCACTGTACTGGACTGTAGTGGTGAAGAGGGAGCAGAGCCATAAGGCAAAGCTCTCTGTTTACCGGTCGGTCTACTTTCCAACACCTATGGTCGTGAACTGTGGGTAATAACTGAAAGAATTAGACTGCGGAGACAAGCGGCGGAAATGAGCTTTGAAATGAGGGTGGCAGGACCCACTGTACTTGATAGGATGAGGAGCTCGGTTATCTGGAAGGATATCAAAACACAGATGCAACTTCTCTCCAGGAGCCAGTTGAGGTTCACCAGGCATGGCCTACTTGGACGAGACCCCAAGGTCGCTAGAGGGATTATATCTCCAGGTTGGCCTGGGAGCAGCTCAGGGTCCCCCGGAATGAGCTGGAGGAAGTTGCAGTAGACAGGGTTGTCTGGGATTCTCTGCTCTCACCACTGCTAATGTGACCCTATCTGGATTAAGTGGTTTAAGATGATGATGATGATGATGATGATGTTGTATAATATGCTGTTTCTTTAGTTGTGTATCTGTTTTAGAGGGTGTAAAATGAATGCAGGGTATGAAATGCTTTCAGTGAGTTTATTAATGCTTTGCCTGCCACATATGATCTCATTCACATCAGTGTTTTGCTTGCCAGCTCCATTACAATTTGAGCACCAACTTCTTGGTGATAATGCAACAAAGCAGCCTTGGTAGACCGTTCCGCTTTGCAATACGTGACACAAACGAGGACACCTTTCTGAGCTGCAGCCTTGCTTATGGAATGCAGCTTGAATGTTTTTCTCACAAAATCAATCCCACCCATTTAAAAAATCAGATTGGTTCATTCCACCGTCAGTTCCTTATTATGTTCATGATTAAAGCTGGAGTAGGTGATTTTGTAGAAAGTAGGAAGTGTAAGCTAGTTTTTTTTTTAATTGGACCAAAAACATCCCACCCCCTACTTTCAGCCCTCCTTCCAAAGCCACCCCCCCCCCAAAACACATGAATGCACACAGCCTACAAACATACACAGACTACATACAAGATAATCATAGATAGCCAGCTTACACCTACAAGTTAGCTAACATTAGCGTTGGACTAACGCTATTCCCCCATAAACAATTTCAGATAACTACCTGTCCAACAGAAAAACTGCAACCTTGACATAATTTTCTGGACCTTTTAACTTCCCCAGGTTTCCCCCCTGTCAGAAAGACACACCAATGTTCACTCTGGTTTGACCTCTTGCTTTATCCAACCTAGTTTGAAGCCTTTTCTACTTCTTTCTTTTTCATTCTTTCTTTAGCAGTGCAAGCTGTTGTAGGTACTGTTGTGTGTGTATGGAGCTGTATGACGAACTCCGCATATGCGCAAATGAGTACCTATGCAGATCTGGGCAGGTTGTGAGGTAGGTAAGTAGAGAGGCAGGTAGGCCATCCAATCTGTGGCCTCCACAGATATCAGATTTTTTTTTCTTTGTATTTGAAGAAAAAAATTGATTTATTGATTGCTATCAGGATGTAAAGAATATTTCAACAAATATATCACATTTTTTTTTTTTGCCGTAAGGTGACACAACCGAGCGTAAAGAAGAGCAAGAGATCCAGGAGAGATGGAGATTTATTTAAAGAAGGGATGGAGATTTATTTAAAGAAAAGCAGGAGATCCAGGAGAAATGGAGATTTATTTAAAGGAAGACTTTGCATTCAAAATTAACGTAAACGGACACATTCGGACAAACAAAACCTGTGAGAAAAAAAACAAAACAAAAAGAACACGCAGTGTTTCCTTTGTTCGCTGGAGATGATACTGTCGTGAACATCTTACACACTAACACCGCAGACACACACACAAGCAGACACACAGGCCTTCGGACGTGTGTGTGTGTGTCCCAGTGAGTGAGAGTGCTCCTCCATTGAAGAGTGTGTTGAAGAGAAGAAGACTGTTCAAGGCAACACTATTTACACAAACTCATAGAAAATGGTGGCTTCTGAAAACACTGGGGTCACAGAAACTATACTCTTCTACACCTTCAACTCTAAAACATCTACATCATACAAAAAAGACTGTAAACAGAAGTTTAAAGATTTACACATACGCACAGCTACAAAAAGAGGAAAAAAAACATAATTTAAAAATTAATAATCGCTGAAATGATCCACCACTAACATAAGGTGCATCACAAAATTCTGCTACCTGTACGAGAGAGAGAGAGAGAGAGAGAGAGAGACAGAGAGAGAGAGAGAGAAAGAAATGGTTTACTCAAACAAAACCTGACCTCTAGTGGCAAAAGATTGTAATTGCAAATGAGGTCCAATCTAAGGGCAGTCTATAGAGACCTTTCTCACTGCTTCAACAAGAGGCCTATAAAGAAAACGTCTATAAAAAAAATAAGCTGCGAGTCCTTCATTCAGCTGGGTAAATTATAAATCCCTCATGGTGGTCTACTTCCCAAGTAAGCCTAGTCCTAACAATGAAACGAAAATAATACATTGATCCGAGAGCAGAGTCCCTCGCTGGACAAATAAAAGCCCTCTCACTGAACACTGGTCGTGGGCGAGGTGTCAGTGCTTACTGTCCGACCTCTGATATTAGCCACAATAAGAGCTCAACACTTAATAATGAGGCTTCCTGCGAAAGGTAAATAATACTGCAGAGGTCGGGTCTCTCTAGGTCTATGACTGACCCTAGAAAACAAAGGAGGAGAACGAGGACGGGCTTTGACAAACACGGACGTACAGTAGAGAGAGTACAGTAAACAGAAGAGTCTAGCTTCTTGTCTGTTTGTTTGTTTGCACATGCAGTTTTACCCTGCTTTCACTGAGTCACCCGCCATTCAAGCACAGGAAGTGATGTCATTAACTGACCACAGGAAGTGATGTCATGAGATGCGAGTAACAGGCTAATGTGGAGTGTGACAAAGAGATGTCAGTTTATAATGGGGTTGTTATAATAATAATAATAATAATAATAATAATAACAATTTCTTCCTGGGATGACAGCTGACACTGAAAATTGCGGCACCAACAATTACACCAGAAACTCAACTGGAGGAAAACAAAAACTCATACAAACAGTTGCAGTACTGAAGTTTTTCATAGCAACATTTTTTTTCTTACTCCAGATATCGATATATTTTTTTTTTCAACTTGATGCATTTTCACGCATGTAAGAAAAACCAGGCAGGCTTTTAGAGTATATACTGCAATATGAGACATTGAAACACAGAGGAGAGAGAGAGAGAGAGAGAGAGAGAGAGAGATGGAGAAAGAGAGAGAAAGAGAGAGAGATAAAGAGATTGAGAAAGAGAGAGAGAGGGTGAGAAGAAGAAAGATGGAGAGGGGAAAAAGTGAGAGAGAATTTGAGAGGAAGAAAGTGTGAGGAAGAGAAAAGGAGAGAGGGAAATGGAATGGAGGGTGGGAGAAGGGAAAAAGAAAATGAGCGAGAGAAAGAGGGAAGGAAGATGGGGAGAGAGAGACAGAGAAAAGAGACATGGAGTTGACAGAAGAAAGAGGAGAGAGAGAGAAAAAGGTAGAGTGAGAAGTGAGAGAGAGAGAGATAGGGAAGAGAGAAAGAATGGCAGAGAGTATATTTACAGCACACTGAACTTTTTCTGTCAAGTAAAAACAATGCTATATAATCATATATATATATTTATATATTTATACATTTATACTGGGGTTCCATACAGTGACAACAGCACACACGCTGCTTTTGCATGATTGTATTGAGTGTATATGTGTGTGTATGTATGTGTGTGTGCGTGTGTGTGTGTGTGTGTGTGTGTGTGTCTGCCTGTCCGTCTGTGTGCGAGCTGCTATTGCCGAGTAGTGAGCTATTTTGCAGTGCTGTCTCATATGTAGTATATGTTGTTTGCTGTAGTAGGTGAGGGTGGGTGAGGAGGGGCTTTGCTTGCTTTGGTGTGTGTGTGTATGTGTGTGGGTGAGATGTTTGGGAAAAGCGAGTGAAGAAAAGGGACACGTGTGTTCGAAAACACAGAAATGTATTTTATGTACATGCAATGGCGGATACAGTACATCTCCCTGCATACTGTATATGGATATTAATGTATATGTATGAGTTCAGTCTAAGTTAATGAAGAGTAAGCTGTCATATTGCCTTTGTTGAACTTAAATCTGACGTGTGCTGGGGACGAGTACGCAAGCCGTGTATTAATGGGTGTATGTATGTATGTATGCATGTGTGTAGAAGTGAATCCTCTGTGTCAGTGCAAAACTCCCTTCTCGGTTCACCACAGACTGAAACTGTTCATTTGATTCGTTCTTCAGTTCCACATTTTCCTTTTTTCTTTTTCCTCGTCCTTCCCCCTCATCATCCTTGTGTTTTTTTCTTGTATACTTCCTCCAGGCCAAAAGGAACTGAAGCGAGGGAAGAAAGAAAGGATGGAGCGATGGCGGGATGTTTAGATATAGTACTCTTTCTTGTCCTCGGCGCCGGAGTGGCCGCCCTCAGCGTTGATGATGGCTGTGTCAGCGTCCGGCGCGTCGTCTGAACCCTTTGCTTCGTGGGTGAGGTATGTACCTGACAGAGAGAAAGGAAAAACGCATTAATTCTTTAACCCTTTAGTGGAGGGGTCTCAAACTCAAAATCTCTGGGGGCCACTAGCCAGGTGTTTTCAAAAAAATTAGGAGGGAAAAAAGTATGAATTTCAACTACATAAAGGTTTTCTTCTGTCGTTTTACCCAATGCTGAAGTAGCATAATCGGGAAAGTCTGGAAAGTTGGGTCAGTAGCGTTTTGGGCCAGTTACTGTGAGCTACTTTGCACCGACCAGCCACTTCATTAAAAAACAACTCTTTGTATCTGAATTCTTTGTCCATTTTATCAGCTCCACTTACCATAAAGGTGCACTTTGTAGTTCTACAATTACAGACTGTAGTCTGTCTGTTTCTCTGTATACTTTGTTAGCCCCCTTTTACCCTGTTCTTCAGTAATCAGGACCACCACAGAGCAGGTACTATTTGAGTAGTAGATTATTCTCAGCACTGCAGTGACACTGATGTGGTGGTGTGTTAGTGTGTGTTGTGCTGATGTAAGTGGTCAGAATACGCTGCCCACAGGACGCTGCCCACAGGACGCTGTTGGCTGGATGTTTTTGGTTAGTGGACTATTCTCAGTGCAGCAGTGACACTGAGGTGTTTAAAAACTCCAGCAGCACTGCTGTGCTTGATCCACTTAGACTAGCGCAAAACACACTAACACACCACCACCAGTGCTGTTAACGATCCACCACCCAAATAATACCTGCTCTGTGGTGGTCCTGACCACTGAAGAACAGGGTAAAGGGGGGGCTAACAAAGTATGAAGAGAAACAGATATCTGGTATGTGGAGTTGATAAAAACGTGTAGATACAAGGAGGTGTACTTAATGAAGTTGCCAGCTGGTGTATAAAATTACACATATAAGCAAGTAAATCACACGTATAGGCAAGTGTAAACACTCAGACAAACTATAACTGTTACATCCAAGTGTGATTTAAGGGTTTAAACAGCGACCCCTCTACCTCAAGTGGTGCAGCCCTGGTTTGCTGATTGTAGCTGAGTCTCGTACAGTGCATAGAGACTAGATGAAGCTGAAGTTAGCTTCTTGTTCTTATTTCCCATTCTACCTTAAAGATGTAGCACTTGCGTTCAGATGCCTGTATAGGTGCTAGCATTATTTAAGGTGGAACGGAAATTGGAAGAAGAAGCTAAGATCAGCCTTGAAAGATCAGCATATTACAATGTGCTGTGTGATCTGACAAAACAGGCAGAGCTCTACAGAGTTCATTACTTTTTTCATGCAATGGCAAGAACTGCAAGAAAACAAGGTGGCACTGAGAAAAAGCTACCTAAGGAGGATGAGGACATATCCGAGCTGGTGGGCAGTAAACAATGTTGACCTTAACTTGCTTAGCTGGCATTAGTTTGTAGCATATTGACTGTTGCAACTGTGTCACAAGTTAGTTTGCATGAAGGCAGTGCTGTGTGTGTATATATATATATCTGTAGCAGGAGAAATACAGTAAGTGGGATGTGTTGGTCTGCATCATGAAACTCGCAGTCTGAAAACAAGTCACACTCTTGACCTGGTTTTACCTACTGTTGTGACCTAAAATATGAGAAAAAAATTACACATACCTGCAGTTCCTGCTGAACGCAAGTGAAGCTATTGTGAGTAAAGTGTTCGCAAAAATGGGGATGGTTAACTCTGCCTTCACAGTGGATTCATTTGATTGACAATTCCATTCATTTCTTTCCTCTGTCACACTATTTACCACCATGTCACAAAAAAGGGCCCATAGTCTCTGGACCAAAAAACCAAAAAAACAAACAAAAAAAAAAACAGCATCTTGTTGGTAACACCTCTTTACTTTTTACAGTCCTCCAAGTTATAGGTATTAACCAGGTTAATGTGAGGTACAAACTTGAAAATACTAGACAGTTATTTTAAATAACATTGACTGAAATGCTGGACTACTTCTGGGGTAAGTGGAAAATACATTAAAATACACGTAAAATACATTTAAATCACACTGAACAGGTTGTAGGTATTAACTGGGCAAGTCTGCGGTACTATGGAGCACAAGATTTGCCAAAATGAAAAATAAATAAAATTCAAAATAAATGACTTAGTAAATTAATATATCAATTAGAATCGCAAAGAATAATGACAATAAATCTAAAAATAAATTTACATTTTTTTTAAATAAATAAAACCTTACATAAATTAATATGTTTGCATGTCTATTTAGTAATTTCCCCTTCTCACTAATTTTTGTATTTATTTTTTTATTTATATGTTTCTTTATTAATATTTTTTCTTTTGTTATTCATTTGTTTCTATAACTATTCATTTCTATATTTATTTATTTATTCATTGCTCTATTATTTATTTCTGTATTTCCTTGTCCTTATGCTAATAAAGGGCCAGTCAATCAATGATGTCACAACGTCTTAATATTCCTATTAGTTGATCGATATCAGATTCTGTAGATTGATTGTACATGTCTTGCTCTATCAGCGGTAACTAAGGACAAGACAGTACAATAATGTCTGCTTGCAGGCTGCAGACAGCCAGAGATCTGAGACTCTTGGCTGATCTGGCTGAAAATGCAGGTACGGATTGTTTACTCTTTCGGACAGTTTGTTCCATTTAGCTGCATTTGCTGATACAGAGGTCGACCCCGTAGTGTTCAGAACTTTGGAGGAGGTTCATCGTCTTTTTCTGCAAAATTCAGATCACACCCAGACATTTGGACGCCGTTCTCACATACTGCCTGTGGAAGCCATCAAATGTTATTTATCGGCGGGTTTGTCTCTCCGTGACATTGTACTTCTTTATGGAGTTGGTAAAAGAACAGTTTAATCAAATGAATTAATGAAAACATAAATAAATAAATTAATACATGAATCAATACATAAAGCAAAGAATTAGATATGGAAAAAATATAAAAATGGCAATAATAAAACAAAATAAATAATACAGAAATAAATAAATTGAGAAATATATAACTGCAGAAAAAGGAAATATGTATATGATTACAATCCAAATAAGCAATATATACTTTATTTAGTTATATTTATTTATTGATCAATTTACTGAGCCATTTATTTTTACATTTTATTTATTTTTCATTTTGGCAAATCTGGTCCTCCATACAGTACAGCCACCACAGTACTGTGTAATTACTGTGAGTAAAATAATGATAAGTACCTAGGGAGACTAACTAAAGTACACTGAAATGACTAAGAGCTTCTAACTATTAAGTTGATAAAGAACATAGCAAAATATTCAGAGTAATAAGATGGTCAGTACAAACATACTACACTTAAGTTCAATGTAATGTCCCATGTTCAACTCTTGTCCACAATAGCCATAAAGTGTTTTGGTAGTCCCTCAGTTTTTGTGCTAGGCATTTAGTATTCTTCAACGGTGATGCAGTAAATGCCTATGATTTACAAAACCATAAGGGAACAATATCTTCGTAGGTGAAGGAGCAAGTCAACATTTACAAATGTTTTTTACCATGTTTACATGCTATTTTACATTACATTACATATTGAACAATGCCCTAGGTAATTTGATAACAGAGTCTGATAATATTATATTATATTATTTTGATTATATTACCCAGTGACTGCACAGTGGAAAGCAAAGCACAACACTATCGTTATCCAAGTAAAACAGTTCTGTTCAAATATATGTGCTTTTGCCACTGTTCTTCTATGAGGCACGGCAACATTCGAAAAGCAGAATGAAAGTTTCATACACTGAGCTGCAGACATGAATCATGCAAACACTACTTGCCACCTGATGGGCTGAATGCATCGTGTTGGCTGAAGTTGATGCATGTACAGTGTGTGTGCGTGTGCATGTGTGTATGCTTAAGAGATCCACATATCCTAGCTAGGACATATTTTCTAGATCTTTTCTATGCAAAATTATTCATGTTAAAGAAACATATTTTATTTGTAAAACAAAAAAGTGCCACAGTAATTCATTTTCAGGTCTTACTCTTTGCTCTAGCACCACCCTTTATTCCCCAATGGTGTAGCATTAAAATTTGTCTTATGATAAATCTAGGATGCAGGTTAGAGTAGCCTAGATTCATTGAGCCACCATTGTGGAATCGTTCCTACTTTTTGAGGGTCGTTGTTTTTTGACATGTCTAGTCATTATTTATTTTCCTTAGTTCTTAGTTTCCTTCGTTTCCTTGAGTAACATGATGAAGTGCCTGCGCATATGTGCTGCCAGACGGTGATGTGCCTTATTAATGAACTGGTTTGCCCGAGAGATGCTATAAATAAACAAACATTCGTCTACCTCACAACTGTTACACAGGGATTCGTGTGTTTGGTAAAAGATTCCCCAGGTGACAACTAGTTGGTTGTAACACAACCACAATGTGGGCCGTGCCTGATAGAACAGAGTGCATTGGAGAGAGTCTGGTTAGATTTATGCTCAGGAACTACTGATTAGGTTTAGGCTTGAAAAAGACCTTTAACTTTGCAGTTAGCTTAAAGCGATAGCTCAGAGACAAAGAAGGAAAGGAAATACTTGAATAAATACTTGATTATTACATGTGATAACAGGTTATAACATAATGAGTGCAGATGTACTGCATGATTACATACACAGTTAAGCAATGAACATCATACTGTGCTCTGTATAAAAAGCTGAGCAGGCCCAGTTTACCTCAAATCTGAATCAAGTGACTTTGAAAGAAGTTATTATTGGGGCACAGATGGCAGAAGCTTCAGTCACAAAGACAACTGGCTAGAATTTTAATAGGAACAGTGACTAAAGTGACACCTGCATTTAGATCTATGGGAAAGACATCAGAAAATATGATTGGAAATTGTGGTTGAATGTGCACATTCAGTGACTGTGATGCTCAATTAGTGTGATACGTAAAGAAAAAACAGAAGAGCAGCTGTTCCTCAGGTTAGGTTGGTTTCAGATCCAATTAAACAGGACTGATTATGTTCTCTGTGTAAAGAAACATATAACTGGTCAGTGCTCTTTATGAACTGACTGGCTGAATAGCATGTTGTAATGTTCTATATCATGATAACGATATATATTGTCACACTACCCAGCCCTATGGTACAGTTCTCAAGTGTTTGAGCAGCTCCAGAGGGTCTGTTATGCTGTAAAGGCAGCTTGCGGGCATGGTTTGGGTCCATTTGTCCACTTAGAGGGAAGGGTCACTGCAAATCAATAAAGTTATTCCAACTGATCACCTTTATCCTTTGAGGAAACCTTTCTATGCTGATGGAAGTGGTCCCTTCTAGGCCGATAGTGCCCCTATCAAGAGGGCACGAGGGGTCACTGAATGGGTTAATGAGTATGAAAAGGATGTAAGTCATATGCTATGACCAAATTACCAAATCACTGAATCTCTGTCTCCAGTCTGTAAGTATGCTTATGTGTGTACTGACTTATGAGGGCATGTTTTTTTAGTCTGATGCACACATGTTTACCGCTGAGTCTCTTGTGTTATTTGTGTTTGTTTGTTTACCTTTGTTTCTGATGCGGTACTCGTGTCTGTGCATGTGTGTGCGTTTGTTTACCTTTGTGTCTGATGAGGTATCTGCCGAGGACAATGAGGAGGCAGAGAATGATGAAGACGATGACGGCCACCACTCCACCAACCACAGCGTGGTCTACTCCTAAAGAAACGGACATAGCTGTGGGATCTGAGAAAGAGAGAGAGAGAGAGAGAGAGAGAGAGAGAGAGAGTGAGAGGAATGGGAACAAAAGGTGGATCGATGGAGAAAGAGAAGAAGAAGAGAGAGAATAAGGGCAGAAGACAGAAAGAGAGAGAAAGTAGGACAAAACATTATTTAGTGTCTGACTGAAAGCAGATAATCTGGTTAACACTGTAGAAGCAGGCAAGATCAAAGAAGTTTTTTTTTATATATAATCAATTTTAATTATAATTCAAATGATACATCATTATAACTGCATTTATAATAATGTATGATATGCATTAAAAGGGCATGCAATTTTGAATATAATGATTTATAAAAAGGAAAGTTCCAGTTCTAAAATCTGATTGGCTGAATTGTATTTGAAACTGTTTTATAAAGTAATAAGCCATAAGAGGCCATGTGTGCTTTTTCCACAGGTAAGGGTGTTATTAGGCATGATACAAAGCAGAGTTAATGCCTTTTATTTGTGATAAAATCTCTGTAATGCTCTGCCTCAATTGACTAATTGCTTTAATAAAACGGCAAAAAAACCCCACCGCCAAGACATGTAGTTTCATTAGAGTATATTATTGTTGCTAATCAACCATGGACTGCTGAAAGAGGACAATGTTTCATGGTTCCTGCTAAAAAAAAACAGTGATTCATACAAAAAGAGCGTACAGTAATAAAGCGAAGAACAGTAAGTAATTATTTATTAATATTGGTATATTTAAGCTTATTGTGACTTGTCTCTGTTTTAGAAAAGCAATTAGTCATGGTTGTTTACCACAGTTTAGGAGCGCTGTTAAAACGTGGCTTATTGCCTTTGCTTTCGTGATTGTGAGATCACTGTAGATTCTTATTATTTAATCTCAACAAAGTTAATGAGATACAAACAAGCAGGTAGGTGAAGAAGAAAAGGAGCTGACACAGAGACAAACAATACCAGCAGTGGTCTCCTGAAATCACCTGCTTTGATTCAACGTGCTTTGTATAGTTTTATATAGTTTTTGTTTTACTTATCACACCAGCTGTCAGATTACTGCATCAGCGTCTGCATCCTTGCGTACCGAATTAAAACACTTTTATTTGCTTGCCACACTTGCAGCAATCAGGAATAATCACAAATCTTCTTATCTTTCTGAACATGATCTCACAGATCTCCGTACAGCTGTCTTACTTACCAAATCAAACGAAGTGAAGAAGCATATACAGCAGTCGAACACGAACACGTTTTAAAAGGCAGCTCAATGTATAATTAATTCTTTACTTCTTTGTTTTTTTAGTTTGTTAGTTCTATATTTGTGTTTTATTATGAAAAGTTGGGATGTTTTGATGAAATCCAGTACTTTTATCTCTTCATTGTTACTTATTGGTTGTACTAATCACTCCACTTTGTGTATTTCATGAGTTTCGTCATAAACACAGCCATTGTTTTAATATATGCTGGATTTGTTTATGGCTGCAAAGGCACTCTGAGCTGCAATTCAGTATGCCCTATAAATAAAAGCTTCATACCATTAAAGCATTATGGAGTTCTTTTCAAGGTTAGCATGTATATTGGATTTTTGTTTATTTGTTTCAAGCATGCATGCACTCTATTTTAGATTTTTTTCTTTTTTTCCCTCTCTCTTTCTCTCTCTCTCTCTCTATCCGCGGCATGGATTCTCCTGCTTTTTGATCATCTCGCCTTTGCGAGCTTCCACTGAAATGTTGAGACAGATGTTTCAGCGAGTTTGAAATATATGAATAGTTTATCAAAAACTTCTTTCATTTTGCCTGGACACGGAGGGAGGGGGGAATAGATCACATTTCATAACCACACACCACTCGTTCTCATTCTCTCTCTCTTTATAATCACAGCGTGGATCTCAGAGCTACTTCATCGGGACCAGACAGAACGGTCGAGAACGAAAAAGAGAGAAACAGAGGAAAACGAAAGATGAAAAGGGGAGAAGACAAAGGAGTGAACAGAGTGAGCGCGGCATGACATGACAAGAAGCCCTGAGAGAGAAAGAGAGAGAGAGAAAGATAGAGAGAGAGAGAGGGAGACAGACAGACAGACAAGGGAGCTGGAGAACAAAGGAACAGCTACTGTACTTGACACAGCAGGGAAATCCCGAGGGTCAGAAAGTGTACCTCTGCGCAAAGTGTGTCTTTACAAATCAGATTAAGTTTTCCAACCTCACACGGCAGGTTCGTTTTGATCAGTTCGTAGTATTTTTCTCAACCAGTGCTGCCCTGCAGCGAGACCAAGCCCAAAAATTGAGATATTACTGGTTTTTCTTTTCCAGTTCCACATGGTTTAAAATCTATAATGGTCTGAAATGCAAGTAATATTTTAAAAACAGAATATCAGACCAATTTTGTGCATTTTAGCAAAGTAATAATTTAATTTCAAAATAAATCTAATATATTAGTGGTGAGCCACTGTAAGGCTGGTTCATGCTGCGCATTTAAAGCGTTAAATATGATCAAACTGATATAACCAACCATACAATATCCTATTTAAAGCATTCTACTGTGTTTGGATGAGAACACCTCAGTGGTAACCCCTTTTCTCAGTACCCATAAAATGCAACTTCCATCTGTGTTGGAGCTCCTTCAGTTGAACTATGCATTTTCCTTCACTAATGTTGATGGAATACATTTTGATGGTAATGTGTCTGACTCACAAAACTGTAAGTAAACTGGATTTTCATCTTTGTAGATGAGCAAGCAGGTCAGCATTTATAAAAAAATGATGTTTTTAAGGTGTTTAAGTGGTATATTTTAGTGTGGCAGTTTTTTTTAATATCACATATACACATTTTTTAATATCAACAAAAGCTGTCTGTTTTACCTTGACACAGGGGTGTTTCTGGAGAGGTATGAATTGTTTTCTTAGTAGGAGGGTTCTCACCCCTCCCTTTTCACCCCTAATTGCTCACTAGCAGCTCAACACAGAATGACAACATTTCACACACAGAGATCCAAACAGTGAGTGCATTTACACGCATTTAATAATCAGATAACTGCAGAAATTCCGATTTTGTCAGTAATCTGATCAACGCGTTTACATGCACTTGAGTAATCAGTTGATGGGAAACACTGGGTCTACATGAGTCGGGCAGTAATTAGATTTCTGCTTTGCAACTGGCCAATAAACTCACAGAAAAAGATGTGTCATAATCGTAATGTAAATACATCGCACCACTTTATCTGAAAATATGAACATGCATCGTCTAGAAGATGAAGAATATTCAAATCCTTCATTTCATCAAGCATGTAGTTGGTTTCAGCGTCACTTCAAATGTGTTTTGCTGCCATCTCGCGGCAATTGTTTGTTTATTTCTGATACTGCCATCAGTTTCTGCACATGCGCAGACTAAGAAATCTGAAAGAAATCTGAGTAAGAGTATACATGCACTGAAATCCGATTACTGAGCTAAAGTCCAGCTCTCTTTATCAGATTTCTTAAATGGATTTCTAGACCTTACTCCAATCTAAGAAATCGGAGTACGCTGTTTACATGACCATTCGAATACCCAAATAACTGCAGGAATTCGATTATGATCGGATTATTGAGTACATGTAAACGCACTGAGCGTCCTAGTTAATCTGATATAAGAGTTATGTGGAATTTTTTTTATTTGATTTTATTGATTCCACCAGAATGGCCACTAGAGGGCATGCAAAAAGAGGCTACTGCAGAAGATGACAAGAGAATGAATGAGAAAGAACTTTCTGTACTTTTCACCCACGATGTTCTCATTTCTAGGATTCTGTATATCTCTGACTTAATTAGCAGACCAACTGATGTTTAACTGACCTTTAATATTACTAAATAGTCACTAAATTGGGCTGAATGATTTGTAGAAAATATCTAATTGTGATTTTTGTGACTGCAGTTTAAATTGTGGTTATTTTCTAAAAATTAAGGTCCCCAGGCCTGTTACTTTTTGGACAAAAAGACCAGAATATACTTTTTTTCTGACCTGAGGCTTAAACACAGAACATAGTACACCAGACTGCCATTTAGTCTATTGCAATAACAAAATGAATCATGAAAATAATAAAATATTCATATTCATATTGTTAACCTCTATACACGTGCTGGGTTGCTTTTGTTTGGCCTAACTAATTACAGGCAGATCATAAGCTCCATGCTTATAAAGCTTAAGACAATGGCGTCTTATTTTCTTGTTCTATGTGTATCCAGAGTAAGAACTGTTCTAGTTTTATTTCTCCATGCTGATTGTTCAAGGATTTTAGCTACAATAATATACACGCATGGTGACTACTGACCAGTATTACTAGACTGAGTGTTTTCTTGCCAAATTCTTGTTGTACTGGGTGGGGAAAAAGTGCTTTGGAGGGTAAACAGAATTTGGGCTGCGTTGTCATAATTTATGTAAGTTTTAAAGCTGATAATATTAAAAGACTGCTTTGCTGAATAATGCGGCTGAAATCTGAAAAGGCTTCTCTCTACATCCAATCTGTCATCAAAACTTTGAGTGACACATTTTTTTCATTCCTGTTGGAAGAAGCCCTCAAAGCCAAGACATGGCATGGATTATCCAGTTCACTTGGCATGACTGACTGTACATAGCACTGCGATAGTCTGCAAATTCAGAATGGCTTGGGGTCTGTTCAGTGTTTTGTTCAGGGGTCTGTTCAAAGATAAGCAAAATTTAAAAATGCATATGAGAAATAGTTGTTTCTTTGCAAAATTATTATAGTAACTTATTTGCCTTATTGCATGGGATCATGGGGCTGTATACAAGCTATTTAAATGTAAAAATGTTAATAGTTTAAAACCACTGATGAGCTAATACTACAAAAGCAAATATGTGCAAGTAATGAGAGAAGGATACACATATAAACCAAGTAATCGAAATAGCCTTTTTTTTTACTTTATTCAACTTACTTGTTGTTGAGGAGATGATGCTTGATAGGAAGGCAAAAATTCAGAACACAGCTTTTGGTTTTTTGTTCCAGTGACTATATACAAAAATTTGTTAGTG